CCTCAGTATTCCAGTGTAGTAGTGACTCACGAAATCGTAATGACTCTATGACCTCGGGTTCAATCCCGGCCGGGGGTATGGCCAGTATAGTAGTCATTGTGCTAACACCTCAGTAGTTAAGTATAATAATTACTGTGCTAGTACCTCAGTAGTTCAGTATAGTAGTCTCTGTGCTAGCACCTCAGTAGTTAAGTATAATAATTACTGTGCTAGTACCTCAGTAGTCCAGTATAGTAGTCTCTGTGCTAGCACCTTAGTAGTTAAGTATAATAATTACTGTGCTAGTACCTCAGTAGTCCAGTATAGTAGTCTCTCTGCTAGTACCTCAGTAGTCCAGTATAGTAGTCTCTCTGCTAGCACCTCAGTAGTCCAGTATAGTAGTCTCTGTGCTAGTACCTCAGTAGTCCAGTATAGTAGTCTCTGTGCTAGCACCTTAGTAAAGTATAATAATTACTGTGCTAGTACCTCAGTAGTCCAGTATAGTAGTCTCTGTGCTAGCACCTCAGTAGTCCAGTATAGTAGTCTCTCTGCTAGTACCTCAGTAGTCCAGTATAGTAGTCTCTCTGCTAGCACCTCAGTAGTCCAGTATAGTAGTCTCTCTGCTAGCACCTCAGTAGTCAAGTATAGTAGTCTCTGTGCTAGTACCTCAGTAGTCCAGTATATTAGTCTCTGTGCTAGCACCTCAATATTTAAGTATAATAATTAGTGTGCTAGCACCTCTGCAGTCCAGTATAGAAGTCACTGAGCTAGTACCTCAGTAGTCCAGTTCTCACCTAGTTATAGTTACAGGGGTCGAGTTATAGCTCCTGACCCCGCCTCTTCACTGGCCGCTACTGGGTCACTCTTCCTGCTCGATGTGCTTTGTCACATCTCTTCTAAAAACTGTATATGGATCCTGCCTCCACTACATTATTTCCCAGACTATTCCACTTCCTGACAACTCTGTGACTGAAGAAATACTTCCTAACATCCCTGTGATTCATCTGTGTCTTCAATTTCCAACTGTGACCCCTTGTTGCTGTGTCCCATCTCTTTAACATCCTGTCTTTGTCCACCTTGTCGATTCCTCTCAGTATTTTATAAGTCGTTATCGTATCCTGCCTCCCTCTCCTGTCCTCCAGTGTCGTCAGGTCGATCTCCCTTAACCTCTCTTCGTAGGACATACTCATAGCTCTGGGACTAGTCTTGTTGCAAATCTTTGCACTTTCTTTAGTTTCCTTATGTGCTTGGCTAGGTGTGGGTTCGAAACTGGTGCTGCATACTCCAATATGGGCTTGACGTACACAGTGTACAGGGTCCTGAATGAGTCCTTATTAAGATGTCAGAATACTGTTCTTAGGTTTGCTAGGCGCCCATATGTTGCAGCAGTTATTTGGGCGATGTGCGCCTCAGGAGATGTGCCTGGTGTTATACTCACCCCAAGATCCTTTTCCTTGAGTGAGATTTGTAGTTTCCATCCCCCTAGACTGTACTCCGTCTGCGGTCTTCTTCGCCCTTCCCCAATTATCATGACTTTGCACTTGGTGAGGTTGAACTCCAGGAGCCTGTTGCTTGACCAGGCATGCAGCCTGTCCAGATTCCTTTGTAGTTCTGCTGTTCCTCATCCGATTGAATTCTGCTCATCAACCTCACATCACCTGCAAACATGGACACTTTGGAGTCTATTCCTTCTGTTATGTCGTTCACAAATACCAGAAACAACACCGGTTCTAAGACTGATCCTTGTGGCATCCTGCTCGTCACAGGCGTCCACTCTGCCACATCACCATGCACCATGACTTGCTGTTGTCTTCCTGACAGGTATTCCTTGATCCACTTTATACAGTCCAAGAAAATGCAGTCTACCAGAGATGTTGCACAAGAGTCTTATTCATTAATTCATATAACAGCCTCAGCATTTATTTAAACTGACTTTTCTCCTGGTTTTCACTACCAGATAACACTATGTAACACTATTTTTGTACCTGGCAAGTAATTGTTATTTTCCAACTGCTTTTATTGCAAAACAATGGAAAATGCCTATAATTCCTATTAAACTTTGCTTTTTTTTGGCATACCAGATGAATTTCTGGCAATAAATGGCTAAGTTTCAATATTTTTTGCTAATTTTGTATGTAAAACAAAAACATATCAGAAAATAAATAAGATTTACATAAATAAAAAATTACACAAATTTTATTTTAAACTTTCTGAAACATATTTGGAAAGTTAAAAAAAAAAAAAAAAGTTTTTCAAGATTTGCGAGCATGCAAAAAAATCACTCCCATTCAATCCCTCAAATGCAGTCTCCAATCATGTTTTCATTATAAGATCACTGCTACCTTTGTTTAAAGTCCATTATAACTTGGTGGAAGCGCTCCCCTTGCTCCTCTGAGTATGATCCCATATTCTCATTGAAATTGCCAAGATGAGCATCAAGGATATGGAGCTTAAGGGACATCCTACAGCCCATCTGACCATAGCATTTATCCAAGGTCTCAGCAAATTCCACATAATTGTCAGCCTTGTTGTTGCCCAGAAAGCCCTGAGCTACAGCAATAAAACTCACTCAGGCTTCCTTTTCCTTCTCTGTGAGCTTCTTTGGAAATTCTGAGCACTCCATGATTTTCATTATTTATGGTCCAGTGAAGATGCCAGCCTTCACCTTTGCCTCTGATAGCTTGGGAAAGAAGTCTTGAAGATACTTGAAGGCTGCAGACTCTTTGTCAAGAGCTGTAACAAACTGTTTCATTAGCCCTAGTTTGATGTGTAATGGAGGGGACAGAATCTTTTGAGGATCCACCAAGGGTTTATGTTTGATATTATGTCTTCTTGCTGAAAACTCAGTCCTTTGTTCTGTCTCAACTATCCCAATGATACTGTTGTAGTCCACCTTAAGATGCATTGAATGAGCCAAGGAAAGAGATGATACTTGTTCCCATTGTGCAGAAGTACAGCTTTTAGGCTTCTGGAGGAGCTGTCAGTAACGAGTCTCCACTCATCTGGATTTTATGCAATTCCAATTGCATCAAACAGGGCTGACACATCATTACAGTAGCACAACCTGTCTTCATTGTTGAAGAAGCTTGAGAAATGTTGGTGACGTTTTCCTTGGCTTGTCATTTGTACACTTTCATCCACCAAGTCCCACTCCTTGAGCCTTGAAATCAAAAGCTCAGCATCTGATTATGTCAAACTATGATCTCTGATAAGGTCATTGAAGTTTGTTTGGTTTGGGTAGTGAGGATTCCTCCCAGCAGCTGCATCTGTGTGATCATAGTCTTGTTCACTGTGTCATCATTTTCTGATTCTCTGCTTTCTTCTTCTGACGGTTGACTTCTTTTTTGAGGTGTAGGTACAGGAAGATCAGCACTATGTGGTACTGGTGCAATAGAAGAGGGAAGGTTTGGATAAGAAATAGCAGATACATTTTTCCCAGTTCGAAGTATGGAAGGATCCACCAGACAGAAGCAGCAGTTGCTAGAATGATCAGTGGGTTCACATCATATTCTAGGAAGAGCAAGCTTCATGGTTCTTCTTTTCTCTCCTCTATACCATCCTGTAAATAAACGAAATAATTACTTTCAGTTATACATTTCATTTAATTAAAAAATATTCCTATTCAAGATTTTAACCATTCATATAACTCGAGATTTTCTTACCTGTAATATTATGCATGTTGCAGTCTGTCACTTGTAGTATTATACATGTTACAGTCTGTCACCTGTAATATTATACATGTTACAGTCTGTCACTTGTAATATTATACATGTTACAGTCTGTCACTTGTAATATTATACATATTACAGTCTGTCACTTGTAATATTATACACGTTACAGTCTGTCACTTGTAATATTATACATGTTACAGTCTGTCACTTGCAATATTATACATGTTACAGTCTAACACTTGTAATATTATACGTGTTACAGTCTGACACTTGTAATATTATACATGTTACAGTCTGACACTTGTAATATTATACATGTTACAGTCTGACACTTGTAATATTATACATGTTACAGTCTAACACTTGTAACATTACACGTTACAATTTAACACTAGTAACATACATGCTACAGTCTAACACTTGTAATATTATGCATGTTACAGTCTTACACTTGTAATATTATATATGTTACAGTCTGACACTTGTAATATTATACATGTTACAGTCTAACACTTGTAATATTACACGTTACAATTTAACACTAGTAACATACATGTTACAGTCTAACACTTGTAATATTATACATGTTACAGTCTGACACTTGTAATATTATGCATGTTACAGTCTGACACTTGCAATATTATACATGTTACAGTCTGACACTTCTAATATTATACATGTTACAGTCTGACACTTCTAATATTATACATGTTACAGTCTGACACTTGTAATATTATACATGTTACATTCTAACACTTGTAATATTACATGTTACAATTTAACACTAGTAATATACATGTTACAGTCTAACACTTGTAATATTATACATGTTACAATCTGACACTTGTAATATTATACATGTTACAGTCTGACACTTGTAATATTATACATGTTACAGTCTGACACTTGTAATATTATACATGTTACAGTCTGACACTTGTAATATTATACATGTTACATTCTAACACTTGTAATATTACACGTTACAATTTAACACTAGTAATATACATGTTACAGTCTAACTCTTGTAATATTATACATGTTACAGTCTGACACTTGTAATATTATGCATGTTACAGTCTGACACTTGTAATATTATACATGTTACAGTCTGACACTTGTTATATTATACATGTTACAGTCTGTCACTTCTAATATTATACATGTTACAGTCAGACACTTGTAATATTATACATGTTACAGTTTGACACCTGCGATATTATACATGTTACAGTCTGACACTTGTAATATTATACATGTTACTGTCTGTCACTTATAATATTATACATGTTACAGTTTGACACTTTGTAATATCATTATTATACTCTATATTATTTTTTATCAGATGAAAGAAGAGAAGGAATTGACTCAGTAATGACCGTCACTGCTTGTGGTACTGTTAACAAGCAGCAGCAGCAATAGTAACAAAAGCAGCAGCAGCAGCATCAACAACAGTAACAGCAGCAGCAACAGCAACAACAACAACAACAACAACAACAGCAACAACAACAACCACAACAACAGCAGCAACAGCAGCAAAAGTAACAGCAGCAGCAGCATCAAAAGCATCAGCATAAGCAGTAGCAACAGCAGCAGCAACAGCAGCAGCAACAGCAGCAGCAACAGTATCAGCATCAGCAGTAGCAACAGCAGCAGCTGGGTCTCCATCAAGTTCCTTACATCACAGTATATGTGTCTTAATACACTATGGATGATAAACATGTGTTTAATGGATGTAGACTAATCAAGGCTGTTAAGATCTGTGCCAGAAATGTCTTGTATAAGACATTCCTCTGGGGAACCCCAGAAAAACCTACCAATATGAAGTTAGATCATTACTTAAATAAAAAGAATGATAAAAAAAAATCTAAATTCTTTGACAGAACACAAAAAGAGATGATTGATAAGAGTCCAGATGGATCAGAGTTTGATGTGTCACTGCTGCATCTTAGCATCAAACTCGCCTGTAAGGATGTAGCTCCATTCAATGATCAAAAATGGAACACTAAAGGTAACATAATGGAGTACTACATTACTTCAATAAAGAACATGAGGAACAATGTTCTTCATGGTCAACTTGCAGTTACTGATAAAAATTATTTTGAAAATATAAAAGAACTTCGGGAGTTGCTAACTGGTTGTCTTGAGACATCCGGAAAGAAGTATGGGAGAGACCAGGATGAAGTGAACCAGGAGGTCACACGGATGAATGATGTCCTGGACCACATTATGAATAAGATTATTGGAGAGGAAGACATACTGATGTATGGTGGAGACAAACTCAAACATCTTATGATTAATGACAGTCGTGACAAACTTAAGAAGATCTTCCAAAGTATCAGCTATGTCAACCCAGTGTCTTTCATCACTAGTGACTTGAAACTTAAAGTAGACAAAATTTTTGTAGATATTGAGGTCAAACATGGAAAACGTGGAGGTGAAGGTGAACATATAAGTCATCAACACCTTCTTAAGCTTCTTCAGACCACAGCAGTACCATCATCCACATGCACTGTCTCACAACAGCAGTACCAGACTACAGCAGCAGCGTCTACAAGCACTGTCTCACAACAACTAGGTACATCTACTCACCCACATATAATATTGCTAGAAGGCGTGACTGGCAGTGGCAAGACTACTCTAGTCACGTTAGTAATAGATGAATGGACTCAAGATGGTAAAGGTAATATTAGTGACTTAGATAATTACGAGCTTCTACTGTGGGTGCAGTGCAGGGACCCAACAATGACCTGCTACCAGCAGCTCCTGGACCGACTGATACCAGAGGTAGCCATAAAATTCAAGGAAATTCTTCCGAAACTGATGAAGCTTTGCAAGATCTTGATTATAATTGACGGCCTTGATGAAGACAATGAAAGTTCTAGAACACTAGTCCAGAGTCTATTGCAAGAATTTAAGTACTGTTCTAATATTGCTTTTCTGTGCACTTCACGACCAGAAAAAGTTGAGAATTTTAGGAAGACAATCCCTGCAGAGTATATTGTGAAATATGCTACACTTCATGGTATAGCTAAGGAAAATTTAGCACAATTCGTGCGTCTGAATCACCAGGAGATAACCAAACAAACAGGGAATAACAGAAATACTGAACAACTGGTAAGAAAGGTGATAAAGCTAGGACTTCATGAGCACTTAAGACTACCAATGAATTTGATTCTTTTGATATACATCTGGGACCACGACCCTGACCAGCTGAACTTTACATCTGTCACTCACACAGAGCTATATCATAATATTCATGTACTGTGTAAACACAAGTTAATAGAGAGACTGACCAACCATGAAGCTACAAAGAATATAGATGTCAGGAAATTAAAGATTAAGAAAATTTTGATAACTATGTACAAGACAGCTCTAGAAAGTCTTTCAAGTGATCAGTTAAACCTTGAGGAAGAAACTGTAGATAAACTTATATCCACCTGTAATGAATTGTGTTTACCTTATAAAGAAGTGTTGTCAGCGTTCCTTTGTTTAAGACCAACATGGACGATACTGGGGATCAAGGAGCGGTACTCAGCTCCTCACAAAGGAATACAAGATTACTTCGCTGCTCTCTATATTGTGAGCAATCTTAATAACCCTCAGAATTCTACACCTACACCTGTCTCAGCTACACTTGCTTCAGCTACACCTGCCTCAGCTACACCTGCCTCTGTTACACTTGCTTCAGATACACCTGCTGCACCTGCCAGTATCAGGGGAGTGTTAGAAGAGAGCATCAGGTCAGGTGTGGTAGACATGAACAAGTACCAGAATGTTCTGATACATGTGGCTGGGCTGCTGCACCTGGTACTAGACCAGGTACCTGAGGAACCTGCACGGGAAGTGGTTCATCTCCTACAAGAGTCTGGTATGAGAGACAATGACCAGTGGCTCGACCTCCTTGACAACACTAACAAGTCTCCAGTAATTGTCAAAGAAATATCTGACTTTTTTAATAGAAAAGAAATAATTGACGTAAGTGATGGACGTGTGAGAAGCTACGCTGCTCTCCTGCCATATCTCAGCTCCTGCAAAGTGGTGATTATTATCCAGGGTGACCCTGATGACCTGCCTGACCTGCCTGACCTGCTGGCTACTCTCACACACCATCACTGTACAGACCTGATACTGCACCACCACTACCATCGTGCCGATACAACCACCACTTCTGACAACCTGTTACAACTTGTACGACCTCGGTGAGTTGTTGGTATTGTTAATAATGTTACTGTAAATTATAACATTATATTGACAGTATTGTTAATGTTAATAATGTTACTGTATATGATAACAATGTCTTTATCTTAACATTAAAGGTATTAACATTGTAGTTGTTATTATTATTGTTAGTGTTAACATTGTTGTTGGTGTTAACATTGTTGTTGGTGTTAACATTGTTGTTGGTGTTAACTTCATTTTTGTTAACATTGTTGTTGTTTCTGATAACATTTTTATAGTTTCAAAATTTACCTTCTTAGTGTTGGTAACATTGTTGTTAGTGGAGTTAACATCATTGTTGTTGGCAACATTGTTATTAGTGGTGTTAACATCATTGTTGTTGGTAACATTGTTGTTAGTGATGTTAACATCATTGTTGTTTGTAACATTGTTATTAGTGGTGTTAACATCATTGTTGTTGGTATCATTGTTGTTAGTGGTGTTAACATCATTGTTGTTTGTAACATTGTTATTAGTGGTGTTAACATCATTGTTGTTGGTAACATTGTTGTTAGTGGTGTTAACATCATTGTTGTTGGTAACATTGTTATTAGTGGTGTTAACATCATTGTTGTTGGTAACATTGTTGTTAGTGGTGTAAACATCATTGTTGTTTGTAACATTGTTATTAGTGGTGTTAACATTGTTTTAATGTTAACACTGTTGATGGTGTTAACAATGTTGTTTTTGTTAGCATTATTGTTGGCGTTTACATTGTTGTTGCTAAGGTTGTTTTTGGTGTTAAGATTGTTGATAGTTTTAACAATGTTGTTGTTATAGCATCATTGTTTGTGTTAACATTGTTGTTGTTATTGCATCATTGTTGGTGTTAACATTGTTGTTAATGTTAACACCTGTGTTAGTGTTAATATTGTTGTAATGTTAACATAGTTGTTGTTGTTAACATTGTTGTTGGTCATAACATTGTTGTTGATGTTGTTAACATTGTTTGTGCTTACATTGTTGTTAACTTTGTTGTTGTTAACACTGTTGTTGGTGTTAAAATTGTTTTTGGTGTTAGCATCATTGTAGTGTTAACATTGTTGATGATTGTGGCATGCAATGAGTATGTTACACTTTATTTGGCATATGTACACACTCCCACATAGGCTGCCTCCCAACAAGTGAACTGGGTGCTAAGGGTTTAAGGATCTTATGGGGCTCCATCTTTAAATCAGTACCTTGGTTAATTAACCAATCATAAGGTGGGTCTGACAGTTGCTGAGGTGATGTGGTATCATTCACAGTCAGTTTTTGCCAGACTCATACAACCTCTGGTTGAGCATGGTTCTGTCTTTTTCTAGCTTTCAGCTTTGCTTTGATTACCGTGTGTTACACTTTTACTCCATTCTTGTACATAGTATATAGAAGTGTACATATATTAAATACTTGGTGAAGGAAAATACAATTTAAAGACTACTACTTCGTTTATTTTCGCTCCAAGTCCCATTACGACCAGGTCAACAGGCCACTATTACCTTGATGCATAATATGGGGGCCTGTCCAGGATCTGGAGCTTGAGCTGGTCTTTGTATCATTGAGGAATTGAAGTTAGTCTTGTATTGTTTAGATTGCCTTGCTATCGCTCGGCATTGCGTGTCAGCTTTGTCATTGCTTCTGTTATTGCATGTCAGCCTAGCAACAGTTTTGCTATTGTGTATCAGCTTTTCTATTGTGTGTGTGTGTGTGTGTGTATCCCACAGTCGTACTATGCATTGCTTGTTGCATGTATTGCAAACAGCACGTTACATTGGAGTTAATGCCACCTACACGTGTCAGGCGAAAGATGTCTGAATTCACTCTATTAAATCTGCCCAAACTCTCTCTACAGCGTTGTTGGCAAATTGCTCATTCTATTGGTATAGAGTGTCAAAACACTCTTACTGCTGCATAGCTACAGAAGCTGTTAATCGCAGATCTCTGCTCAGGTTCCTTTGTAAAGTGAGAGACATAACACCAGAACATTCAGACAAGTAGTCTCATGAAGCAGCAGGGGCATCAGGTTTGTTTAAGGGTGAGTCCTCTTCATTGCCACTTGAGTTAGCAAACAATAAAGGAGCAGCGAACCTCTGCTAAGGAGGAGTTTGATACGGAGAAGGAGAGGAAGCAATTTAAACAAACAGTGGATGACTTTAGTGTGCAAAAGTCAGTTCAGCAAGTTCCTTATTTTGTTGAAGCCTGAGCAGTTTTTCGAGGCATTTGAAAGCCAGGCTCGAGCATGAAGGTGGCCTGAGGTGCATTGGGCAGTATTGGTGCATACAGTGTTGTATGGTAAGGCACAGAAGTTTACATCTTAACTGAACAATGAAGACTTTATTAACTATCGAGTGGTGAGAACCATGGTCCTTGGGGATTATCAGTGTATTCCCGCCAAGTGCAGGAGGGAATTTAAACTAGGCAAACGACAGCCGGGTCAGTCTCATGGCGACTTTGTAAGGCAGTAGTCGAAAGCCTTTACCAAGTAGTACAAGGCAAATGGTGTCGATAATTTCTTGGACCATGTCCAATTGCTCTTGGTGGATAACCTGCTCCAAGCAGTTTTATCTTTCTTTTTAACCGCCTGGCATGAGCAAAGATCGTCAAAGAAGAGTTCCTGACTGGAGGACGAAGTGGCAGGACGAAGGTGAACAATAGCACCAAACAACTAAGTCACTGGGTGAGCCATGTTACCTAACTCAGCCTACTTGTGCTCAATATGGTGATCAGAGATGTCAGTATACAGACTGGCGTCAACCAGAAATTCAGCAGGGAGCCATGGTAATGTGTTATCACTGCCATAAACCAGGCCATGTTAAACTGAACTGTACAGAAAAACCCCATCCATTAAGGAGAATTACTAATCTCCCTATTGAAATGAAGCAGAAAGAAGTAGAGTGTGGGATAGCCCCATACTATAGTACTTCTCATATCTCCTGTCAGGAGAGTTCAAAGAAAATGGAAGTAAGAACATCAAGGGATACAGGGCAAATTGTTCCTTAATACGAGTGGGAGTACTTCCCTTCTTTGAACAAACGTCATTGCACTCATCAGTTCTTTTAGAAGCATTTGGAGGAGCAGTATTTTCTGTCTCTTTACATAAAATATATGTGCAGAGTAAATATTAGACTGGATATTTGACTGTAGGTGTTTCTGATGCGATTTCCTATGAAAAATGCCGTATTATTAGTAGGTAATAACATTAATTTTACTAAGTGTTCAGAACCTATAATGACTAATTCTTCTCCAAAGTTGGCCATAACTCGGTTAAAATCCCAAGGGATGTCTGATGAGAAGGTTAACACATCCTTGGACGACTCTGATCTTGGACTAGCCAATTTGTTTTACAAGGAAAACTGACCAGACCCGGATCAAGCCTTCCTATTCCAGGGTTGCAGGATTACAAGATATCTTTGTCTCTATGCCAGAGGGACTGTCCTTTCGGGAAGAACACCAAAAAACCCTTCTATGAATTTCGCTTCTCAGACATCCATTGGTGAATCCCCCCCAGATCACCCAGTCAAATACTAAGAAGTTTCAATCACAAATATTAAATGTAGCTCATTATTCTTAACTTAAAGATTACCAAAACCTTGTGTAGAATATCAAAAGAATTTATCTAGCTTAAGTTAAGGCTAGATGTGAAGAATCACATCTGTTGTTGTAAGGAGTGTCAGCAAGTAGGACAACCTGGACACCCCATTAAACCTGCATCACTCCTTCCCATACCCACAGATGGAGAACTTTTTGCAGAGTTAATCATAGCTTATATAGGTCCATTACCTAAGTCCAAGTCTGGCAACCAGTATTTATTCACTCTTACAGACAAAGTTACTAAGTATTCAGAAATATTCCCAATGTGCAGTATCAATACCAAAGCTATTTTAAAGCACTAACCAAGTTTATCTCTTACTTTGGCATTCCTAAGTTTATTCAGATTGACCAGGGTACTAATTTTACTGCCAAAGCATTTAGGGAGTCTTTATCTAGGCTAGGAATAATTCATAAATTATCCACTGCCTATCATCCCCAGTCCCAAGGTGCCCTGGAAAGATTTCATCAGACATTGAAAACCATGATGAGAACTTACTGCATGCATTTTCCTACAGACTGGGATGAATCACTTCATCTGTTGCTGTTCACAATGAGAGAAACTGTGCAGGAGTTCAAAGGGTACATTCCGTTTGAGCTAATCTTTGGGCACAACGTAAAAGGTCCTCTTCGAGTGCACAAGGAAGGATAGATGGGAGAAGACACCTGCATAACACTCTACAACCCTTTATTAAGGTTGCAGGTGGAACGTCATTTGGCTAAGGCTAACTTAAAAACACCTCAAAATACTATGAAACAGGGGTATGACAGAAACTCAAATTTTCACTCCTTCCATCCAGGAGACAAGGTGCTCGTGCAGGAACCTGTACCTGGCCACACCTTAAAAACTAGATTTACGGGACCTATGCAAATTGTAAGTAAACTATCTGATGCAAATTATGTGATAGCTCCCCTTGATAAGTCCTCAAAGAGTAAAACATACCATATAAATCAGATTAAAACATTTCAAACTCCAAGTAAAGACCCAGTAATGACTCTTTCCTCTGCCTCTGTAGGCAACCCTGACTCCTTGCACCCTATTCCTGAAATTCAAGTAAAACTTCCCAATTCTGTCCTCCTCAAGTACCCTAACCCTTTAATGGTCAGATTATCTAAGAGTCAAATAACAAGTTTAACTGCGCTCCTGCAATCTTACCCTGACATCTTGGATATTATGATGTAGATGTTGGAAACTCTAAACCTATTGAACTCTCCGCCTACAGATCTAGTCCTGAAAAACAGAGGCTACTTCAGCAGGAGCTAGAATTTCAGTTAGAATATGCGTTAGTAGAGGAGTCATATAACCTGTGGGCTTCTCCATGCATCCTTATTAAGAAAGCTGACAGAGGTTTTCGAATGTGTACAGATTACCAGATGGTGAATGAGGTCACTATTCCACATGCTTACCCTCCTC